CTGGCCGATTTACCTGGGAGGTGATTCACGAGACCGGACTCACATTTGAGGAACCGAGGAGGAAAGACCAACTGGAAAAGGTGGAAGCAAGAAGTAAACATGTGAGGTTCACAAGTGGAGAGAAATAGGGAATCTGAGAAGGGTGAGCCAACCATCCATCTCTTTTTCACACAAGCCCAAGTGACTCTAACGTGCATTATTAAACACGCTTCTAATTACCCGAACAAAAGCCTGCAAGTGCCATACGTCTGACATAGTGGTTCTAGATATGACTCTAGATCCGAACACAGAATTAATTCAGGAGGGGGTGGGAATCTATCGCGATCCGCTGTTATTGAAGGGGAGCAGTTTTTGCAATAAAGTCGAGGCGAATCGATGCTTGTATGTGACAGATGCCTAAAATTGCAAAATCGTTGATAAAATGTCCAAAATGAGGTCGGTGCATTTTCTGTTAATTTAAGTGTTGAAGGTCCCGGTAAGCGTCTAGATTCACTCCAGGACCGCCACTTTGTGCCGACAAACCAGATTATGCCACACTGATACACGGGAAGGCTAAGAAGACTGGCGATGACGGAGACACGAACGCTTATTAGACAGCTCAACCCAGTTTTTGCTGTTTTTGCGAGTGTGCATTCACAGTCGTGTATGACAAATGCAGATATTGGCGGAAGTACAGATGACCGAGCGTCCAGGTGAGTGGAATGGGTGACAGAGGGGGGGTTGTACTCAGACGGTTCCGCATGATTGATGGAGGTGCTGTGAAAAGGGGGCTGCGTGCCGACGGTGTGGCGACTAAGTTGGTGGACACGAATCAACCAAATGAGCTACAAAAACAGAGTAGGACCGCTTTCTATGAGTTCTGGTGAAAACAATAACTTCACATCTAGTGATCTTGATCGTTTTATTTGTGTGAGTTAACCATCCCATGTGCACGGTACATCTGATGGTTCCTTGTGACACTTTGGGAACCACGAGTCTTCCAGAATTCGGTGAGGAATTAGGATGTTTATTTTGCTCGAAATCCTTTTTACTCATTGGCATGCTCTATCTGCGCTCACAGGCCCAGGGAGCTAGTGCGTAAGGTCATTGATGTGCGATGGTGAGAATGAAAGATCCACATCCGCTGAGTAACACGAAAGCGCGGAATGTTATAAACGAAAGCACGTCTTTCTTTGTTCGCATTCCTACTTTCCTTCCGATTAGCCGTGGCCAAATGAGGTGAGCTTGCCCCAACTCGACGACAACTCGACTGTATCATAATCTCCTGAGATTGCACATGGTTCAAGGGCGCGAGCAGTTTTTTCTTATGCAGCAGACCTATTGAGCAATAAAAGCATGGGTAAGTAAAGTCATTGCGAAGACGGTTGAAAGGAACTAGAAACCGGCAAGTCTTTGTGCTAGGAGAGTTGTTATACCACAGCGCGTAATGAGTTTGCATAGTTAAGTCATAGGCATCTGTAAATACAAAGACGAAGCTGCTTCTTAATGCTACTCATAAATTATGGTGGGTTTTGCAAAACGGATAGGCAAGCAATCACCCATACCCAATTAGAAGCCTGAAGAAAGGCTACGACCAGCGACATCAGCGCAATTTTTTTCTTATCTGGTAGAGCATGACTGAGTAGGTTTTGCATTGTATTTAGTTGTGCAATGGCTAAATTTAGCAATACCTTACAACCGTCTACTTAGCTCGTAGTAACCCGAGAAGAGTGGAACTTGAGGCGACAGAGAACACGACCGTTTATTGGTGTCAAACCAACCAAGTGTCATTGTGTGCGTGTGTGTACGCGTGCTTAACAGGCGAATGCTGACAGAAGCCAATAACAGAAGGGGTGAGTCATTGGAACACTCGGACCTTTGTACACGCATCACTCACGCGAGGTGGCTGTCTGTCCACTGCAGTTGTGTTAAAACACGTCTACCACCGATGCCAGCGCATGCCCTGACCCCATGTGCATCTCGAGTCATCATCGGCATTGTTGGTGAGGTCACGTCTCAACTTGCTCCCATGCGCTCTTCAACTACCTTCTCCCACGCACATCGGCAAAGCCACAGCCAATGACGCACAACACACCCGTTTGTGATCAACTTTTATAATCTCCCGTTGTTTCACGTATGCATATTCTAAGTGTTAACAACCGTGTTTTCAAGCACACTCAACCGGGATTGAGAGTCGGTTCTCCTTCACTTCCAACGTTCTTCCCTCTCGAAGGTACCTGGAGTCATAGAAGCCTACAGTAAAGTTGGTGTCTCCGATGCGGGGCTCGGAGATTGTTTGTCTGCCTCGGCACGTATAGAACTTGTTGGTAGATGTGGTCTTCAGCAAGGCCACGAATACGGAGAAAATAGCTGCTCACTAATTCATTAACCGGCGTTAAAAGTAAAAAAAAGCAAATGAGTGCTGAATGAGAACACTGAAGCCTGTGGAATTGTTGAAGGTCCATTTTTAAGACGACGTGAGCGGTATCGTGCTCAATTTACTTCCTTTAATCTTACTTGTGAATGCAAAGAGCTATGTGAGTGTTTCTCAGATTGAATTTGTGTGACTCACCGGTATGCCAAATGAGAATGAATGGGCGTCTTAATGCTTTTTCGGCATTTTAGACTCTAGTTGTATGCAAATCTATCGCCTAATGCAAAGTTATCTAGACACGTTTATTAAATTGCATTTGATGCTTGATTATTTTATCAAGGTGTCTGTACATGAAATACCTCGTTAAGCTAATGCATCACAATAAAACTACGGACTAGACTCTTGAAGCCCGGTGAACTTTGACTGTCAGTTACTATCCGACTGAGTTGAGGCTACGGGTGTGGTTTGGTTGGCGGTTTAGCGGGTCGAAGAGCAGTGTTAGCTATTGTGTGTGCGTATACATGGCACATTTGTCACTGCCATACCGACTTGTTGCCAGGGTGGATCAAAGTAAAAATTCGAGTCAAACATTATGGCTTCCCACTTGCCAATTGTACGTCAACTTCTTCAATATCGGGGACACGTTTGTTTGACTCAAAACCTGTGACGGAGCTGCAATTTGAAAATACTACGCGAAAGGGTTGTGCGCTGAGAAATTATTGTTAAACCGAAGTGAAATGTTTACTAATGTTCAGAATGTGTGTTCAGCCAGAGCACGATCGCAGATGCGGTTACTGAGATGGTGTGACTGGTCATTTGTAAAGAAGGAGGTTCTGGCGCTGAAAACGATGTTTATGTGGCTCCAGTTGCGTAACTCCGACTTTGTCTGCAGTGCACAGGTGAATACATGGGCTACTTTTAATTACGCTTTAGTCTATTTTTATCTTAGTTCTGCCTTCATAACGTGTTTGGTTCAATGGAGCAATCAGTGGGGTTCCACTTACTTGAGATGGTGCTCACATTCAACGTCATTAAATGCTTCTACGAAACAGGAGTTTCACCTGGTTTGGTAAGTAAAATACTGACGTCTGCGATGGCAATGCGGGCTCACTGTGTCATAATGTGGCTACAACTAACAAACCTCGGGCTTTGTACTAGGGTACAAAACTGTAATCAAGATCACACCCTCTTTGGGATCTCACAACCAACACACACAGTCAAGTAACGAACAAATACTTGTTGACCTGCTAACTTTTCCTGGTTCAACATGATTAGACGTTGCTGTTCTTCCATTGAGCTCTTTATCAACACTGGTCGTAATGTGATTTGTGGTCTGCCTTGTCATTTATGGGCTTCAGATTGTCGTAGTTAATGTGATCTGATTAAACTATTATTCCTCATGCAATAACTATTGGTAAAGTGAACAGTCGGATCTCAAACCGGATAGTCTACAATGAAATAGCGTAAGTTACTGCTTGCTGTTGACAGTGTTCTGATCACTTTTTAACGAATTAATTACCCTAAAAACGATTTCACCTTTTTGATTAATATAATTTTGGTTCCACTCTGTTTATGGTACTGCATGATATCCAATCAACACGTTTCCATGATGTATTTCTTGACAGAGTCATGTTCGCCAGGAGCCAAACTGACTCTATTTTGGGGACATAGGTATGTCTACGGACGTCTGTGTATATATTTTTTTCAAGTGTGACTTAAATAAAACACGGAAACTAGACCTTCATCTAATGGACGTATTTTAACATTTGCGATTTCTTGAATGAAAATATCAATGTTTCGCAGTCACAAAATTTTGCAGTTCTCACGGACATTCTGTTACCCAATGGCTCATTCAGAATCAGAAAGCATAAGCAGTTCCCCACTAGATCATTTTGTGTTCACATTGTTAGTTTTTTTCAATGCTCAGTCTTTTTATCTTGGTTGATCAACGTCGCGACTTGGAGAATAGCTTTCGATTATCTGGTCAGCATGGAGGGATAGTATTTTATTGTCCGGCATTTTCTTTCCCTGTATACCAGTGAAGTAGGCCTCTGCTCTTGTGTGTGAAAATGAGTTACTAGAACAGGGCTGCGACGAATTGCCAAATCAATGGTAGGGATTCACATGCGTGTTCATATGCAGCAGCAGCAGCAGCACGTTGCATGAGTTGAATGAAGTCGAAGTTAGCGCGTATTGGTGCTCTGTGAGGGAGCCAATCAGTCATCGCCTGTGGCAACGCTTGGAACCTTTATTGCTGGGAAACCCCATAGCGCCTAGCACTCCATACGACACTGTCAACCATGACAACGCGCGAACCCTTCAAACCCATCTCCATTGACAAAAAGCTGGGTGACATTTACTTTAATGAAAAATGTCTTCTATATGGACCTTTCGCGGCACCAAAGACAAGCCCATTTACAACTGAACGCGCCCAGGAGGTGGCTGAAAAGTACGAAAAGACGAAAAAGCCCATCAAAATTAAGCTGGTTGCTTTGGCGGACTCACTGGCACTACTGAAGAAATCTCGATTTGGCAAAAAACCTCCTTATCCCAAGATCAAGTATACCGAGGTGAAGACACATAACGTGTTTTCACAGACGGAGAAGACCATCATTCTGGGTGTCCAGGTGGCTGGTAAACCTCAACAGTTTATGGCGATGGTTTTTGAACAGCCATTAAAAGCAATCCAGCTAGAAGACAAATTAGCCTATGCGGATGAGGCACCAAAGAACAGTCTGAAAAATCGTATTCCAGTTCGTGAGCCAACGCCAGTTCAAGAGCCATCACCGTTTGTACAACAGCCCAGCAGATCGCCATCAATTGTTGTCATGCCACACGAGACAGCCCGTGCTCGAAGTAGCAGTTCAAGTAGCAGTAGGGGAGAAAGCAAACCAAATACACCCCACAGTGATAACAGGATGCCGGCCAGCGCATCACCATATGATTTTCACCCCTCTTCAGCAACTCCTGAAAGTATTTCTGGCTCACGCGTCGCCGCACTTCCTAGGCAACCAGCACACAGTTCGACATCAACGTCAAGCTCACCACATCCTTCTGCATCATCACATCCACAGGTGATACAACGTCCACTATCCTCGCACAACTCTCGTTCCGAAACCATCAACGAGACACTTCATTTCAGCTCGCCAGATCCGCCTATTTGCTCCAAATGTCGGTCCAGATGTGCGAGCTTGGTGGATATCGCAACGTCCCCACTTGTCTTTTCAGTAGCCCAGTCCCGTCCTCGGTCACGCGAAAGCTCCACACACACTAGGCAGAACGAGAGCCTTTTATCGGAGAAGCCTTGCCATGTATCGTCAACGGAGGCCATGGTCGACAAAGAGTGTTCTCAACAGAAGCAGCCAAATGATCAATTAAGCAAAGAAACGCTCGTTGTCAGAGAAACAAATCTGCAGCGGGAGGTTAGACCTAGATCACTCTCGTCCTCCTCATCCTCTACCAGTGCGCAACTCTCTCCCCAGAGACGGAAATCCAGACAAGATAGTCGACCACGATCAGTAAGATCAAATGCACACACTCATTGCCACGTATGCGACGCTCCACAAAACAGCGTCAGTCCCTCCAGACCTCTATACATTCTCGCTTCCGGACACTTTAGACCATTTTCAGAACTAACGCACGAACAAAATTACGGTAGTAAAACAAGTGTTTGTTCAATATGCGGTGAAGCTGGAGTTGGTGATCTACGAACAGTCGAAATTATTCAAACCGACGTGAACAAAAGACCGATTCTTTCTGAAGATGGTGCAGTCTATATGTATAGCAAGACTCGGCCAGTTGAATATACCAAAGACGAAGGGGAATGCTATCGCAGACGGAGTCGAAGAAGTAGCTCCGGATTGCTATCCGATAGCAGCACCAGCAATTTAAGTTTAAGCATCAGTACTGCCAAAGAACGATCTCTAAAAATGGTTCCACTAAAGTGTGATCAGACGCCGGTTCGTGTGCCTACGCCGGAGGAATATGTGTCCCGTGAAGTCAAGCGAAAACGTCGACCTTTATCTACTGACGAAAGATTGCCAATCTATCGCCTTGACAGCAGCGACAGTGATTCCTCAATCACTTCCAGTCGCATGGGACCAAATGGTGCTGGCTACGCTGGTAGTATTAAAGTAACACCTTTACGTCATTAATTTCAAAAAGACATTCCATAAACTTTTCCAGGCACTTATTTTTTGAAAATTTCTTTATGTTAATGGGGTTGATGCTATTCTTGAATATACGCACATCCCTCCGTTCTCACCACGATTTATTTTCTTTTGAGTAATCTTGAAACCAAGCGTGGAGGAAATCCAGACCGAAGACTTGTACGACCATTAAGCTTTCATCCAGCTTGGGTAACGCACAATTTTGCATTGAAGTGAATCGATATTTAATAACTACGGGATTACTTAAACACCAAAATATTGAAAATGCAAATATATGGTTAAATTTAATTGCAAGACACAAATGAATATGAAAATCTCTAGGGTAACCTGAGGAACATAAAAGTAAACGCTTACGTTCTAAGATCACGTAGGCCAAGGTCCAGAAAATGAAGCACTGACTTAAGTTAGCTAATGACTGACTTGATGTTAAGCTGCATTGTTTGGGGATTTCCGAGCTGCCAATCACTCTCATAAAAAGCTCGCGCAGCTGGATGGCTTTAAATAATAAATTGAAATTGCCCTGAAGGTACGAAGTTTGTATCTGTATGGAAGACAAATTTCAGTTTGATTTTAACAAGCCATTTAGTTAATATTTAGAGTCATTAAAGCTGTTTTACTTTAGCAAATTCCTCCGTTGAAAATTTTTGAATAATCCTCAGCTAGTGAAGTAGTTCGTTGAATGATAAACCAGGTATGTTGATTGATATTATTATTTTCCGCAAATTAAGCCCTGAATCAAAATATCACCGCCAAATCCAATAATAAAAATAGGTTGAAACGTTATAGATGATCATTAAAGGGATTGTAGGGTTGTGATGGCATCCAAAACTGCACCGGAAACCGGTTAGATATGTGAACGAAAGTAAGGCGTATTATTTACTTGTGTGGGTGCGTGTGACTACGGAGCTTTCAAGAATGGATTTGGTGACCTTTTTGAAAGACAAACTGGTAGTAAGACTTCTAAAACCTCTGAAATACGAGAGCTGAAAGAGAGCATAAGCATATATTACCTCGCCCGGCAGCGGTTTTTTCAAGGAGTTGATGAAACCACTTTTTACTGAATTATTGAACAGAAAGAGATGGCAAGGGATTCTTCCATCCAAATTCAAAACCCTTTAATTGTCTTGAGACGTTCAAATGACATAAATTAGTTTTATTCAGAGAAATCTCTAAATCAGCCACTGGAGAAAAGAAAAATGCGTTTTTGACACACCGCATTCATGCAAAATCCACAGCTTAGTAATCTGAACCAGTGTGGTATTGAAGTAGCTCAACGATCATGTGACTTTAACAGATTTTGCCTGAATATGCGTCTAAATACTGGAGCAAAAACCTAGTCCTTTCTCAATAAAACGATGGAGTGCTGCTCACAGTAGATGGGCTTGTGTTAGTATTACAGGGGAGGACTTAAGCTAAGTCGCGTGATTACAGCTTTTATTTCGTACTTATAAAATGGGGCAAAGTGCTCTTTCACCACGTATATTATGTGAAAAAGGAGTATTGAAATCGAAGACCAATTGGCCTGAGTTTTCTCTACATGATTTTGCGCCTGCATGAAATCGAAACCCGTGTGAAGATCCTAATTCAGTAAACAGGAATCAGGATTGTGTCTATTTATGAGGAAGTCAATTTTAATATATGCATCAATTCACAGGGGATATAAATTTAAGCACAAATTGGTCTTTCTCGAAGTCATTGTTACGAATCAGCCACTTTTGAAAATGAGAACTGTTTGGTGGCACCGTAGGGACAATTATTGCATCTACATACCAACTTTCGGAGATGGAGATCTAAGAAGTGAGAACAGAAGTACAGTCCACTTGTTACGAAGCCGCACAATAAGTAATTTTCGATTAAGAGAAATCCGATTACGCCGAAAGACTGTAACTACAGAGGCACAAGTTTTGAAGTTTGCGGTAATAAGTGGTACCTATCAGCTAATTATACCACTAAATTTCAAACCGAAGGCATGTAAATAATGAAAATAAAACGAATGGGAACACGCTCATCATATCCTAAATTAAAAATATTTCCATGTGCACATTATCCACTGTTTAGCAAGACTTTAAAATATCATCTATATGCATTCTTTAATTTGGTGCTTTATCAATGGAAACTGATTAAAGCACAATAGGTAGAGATTTTACCTAATGGCAAGTTTTTACACAGACTTAATGTAAGGGCCATGCAATTTTGATAGCTCTGTTAGTTGTACTCTTGTGACGGCGTTAGTTGCTTGGATAAATAGAAAGAACGTAGATTTCAGCTCGAGGAGAAATGGCACATTTTAATCAATGAGTGACAAGGTTGAATTACCACGTGCACTCCTCTATCACACACACAATATGTTGCAGTATTCTGATCTAAAAGTACCCCGAAATTTAACCGTTTAAGGTTGAATCTGACACATAAAACTACGTAGTTAGGGTGTAATGGCCACAATCATTCGGAACCACTGACTTTGTTTATGCGACAAAGTAGAGACAAGCATCGTGTTGAAATCTTTAGTTTGACACATCCGGAAAGAAGGTGGCACCGCCCAGTGTCTTTGCAATCGATTTTAAGGCATAGATCGCTGACGGAGATTGAAAACACGATTAACCAGGGACCTTTCAATTAAAAAGTAATGCTGTCAGGTGATGTTTCCTGGAATAATTAAAATAACTTTGACACCAGAAACGCAAATTTTCAGTTGACAGCGGTGTTGTTTGGGCAGATGCTACCGAATTCGAGGTCCCGCCCTCTCTCGACTTTTTAAAGCAGCATGTACATGCACCTAATCATGACTGCAGTCGTTAATTAAATAAGAACTGCCAGAAAATTATATAAAACTCAAAATACAGAGGCTTTGAGTTGCCCTATGATACGAGGCTTTCAGATAGCCACGGTGTTAACATGATAAGGATTTAAACGGATTAATTTTAAAATTTAGGAGCTTATTGTTATTCCACTTAGTGGCGATGGAACCTACGCCTATGCAGAAATATCAGGCCATGTTACATCAGATGAGCAGCAAATGTTGTTTACCATTGCTGGAATCAGTTTACCATTATTATTTTTGGTCACGTATTCATCCACTTTATTATTGCAAACTGCAAATAAGTACAAGCTGCTAGTCAGGATGAGGATTGAGGTGTAGCTGCAACAACACAGTCACTGGTCTCTGCATCACTACGACAACCGATCAGTTTCAATCGTCTTCAAGTACACTTGGCATTAGCTTAGTATGAGTCAGGCGGGTTGAATAAAAACCACACACGTGAGAAATACTTTTATCTTAATCACACCCACGACAGCCGATATAACAGCATGTTTTTGGCTGGGGACCTATTCTTCACAAGCGAAAAGATTATTTGCTTCACTAAAAAGGGTATGAGCCTTTTTGTGGAATTGCCAAAGAACCCGTATCAGAATTTAGTGCAACCAAATCAAAGAGAAACAGCTTATTCTTATGCTTTACGTTCAAATAGAAATTGCTCTTTGTTAGTTGAATGAGATCACAGGAATTTGTATTTGAATTTTTTGGTGTTAAAACTCAGGTGGTTACATTGGGTTAAGTTTTGTTACTAATGTACAGTAGGTAAAGGCAGAATATAGGGTTTTAATGTTATTTACGTCGGGTTCAGTTGGTTTAAACTTCAGTGTATGACTTTTCTTCTATTTTTGACATAATTGGCGCTGTTTGCTGCCAGTCGTACTTGACGGCACCAAATATTTGTGTACATGAATGCATGTCCATTGGATGGATATAAATAAATGGCCAAGTGCCTCTGGTAGATACTGAGCAATGAATGTATTCTTGCTCTTACTGGGCTAAGACACAGGCCGCTATCTTCCATAATGTTACAAGTTTAATTTGTTGACAAGCAAACCGTCATTTGTAACAAAGGAGACTCAATGATATTGATTCTAAAAACGTTGTATCCATTTGGCTAAATTTTGGATTGATTAATTCAAAAGCCAATCAAACTGGTAGGGATAATTTTTGGTAAACTATAGTATCAGCACATTTATTTTAAAAGAGCTCGGATGCTGTGGAAAGTATCGAGCTGTTGGAGCCTCATCTACTAAAAAACCCACCCAAATATACTGTCCAAGTGGACGGTTTCATCAAGAATTTGACACAGAAGTGACCTGGGTGCCGTGGTTACTCGATTTTGCAGCACAACAGTAGTCGAAAGCACACGGCAAGATTTACAGAAATGACCATCCTGGAGGTCAGCTTGGTGGTTGTGACTCGGCCTCATTCCTCCCGAGAATCACATTTTCGACTTCATTTTCAGCCGAATTCGGGGAATGAGTCCGGTAACGGTATAACGACAGGTGTTACAGTAAGGGAAGTCGTAAACGATTGCTATCACATTTAAGTTTCAGAGATGACCCAAATGCTGTTGAAAAATGTGCTGTCTGTTAAAATGAAGGAAATTTGGCCCCTTACTAAAACCACCGAGGAAGTCGTTTTAAAGTTTTCATTCAAGCTGGTGTAAGATCTACTGTAAAATGTCCACACAAATGGACTTGCTGGTAGTTATATATACTGCGAATTCAAAACCGAGACCTTCTTTGAATTGGTTCTAAACAAGGGAATGAAGAAGTGCTATGTTTGCGGACAAAGGGTCTGCGTAAATCTTAGGCACACTTACGAAATTGTCGCCACTGAGAATCCTAACAAATACAAGTTAAACTCCAAAGCAAAGTTGATGCAATAACAACTATTATGACGAAACAATGCTTCATCTTTTATTTCACCAGCAGAGCCAGCAGGTCAGATTTGCTTTTATTTATAAAAGGTTTTAATGTAATAATTCGCTGTGAACATAAGTTAATGTCATTTCACTGCGAAGGAAAATGCTATTTGACTGCTAGAGTAATTTGCCATAAATTCATTTGTCATACTAATATCGGGCCTTTCTTACACTCAGGATACGTTAAAATAAGGAGTTACAGTTGTGGATTACTAGATTTGAATATGTAGAGGCGAGCTT